ACACCAAGAACAAAGTAGCTGCACACAATAACATCCTGTGGAAACTTACTGGTAGCACATGAGGTGCAGACCTAAAATTAACAAGAACATCAGCCCTGGCCTTGTCTTACTCAACTGCCGAATATGTCTGCCCTGTTTGGCACAAGTCTGCCGATGCAAAGCATACTAAACGAAACATGCAGAATGATCGCAGGATGTCTCAAACCTATATCTATTCATAGACTCCATAAGCTAGCTGGCATCCCCCCCCCCCCGCCCAATGTGTGATGGGAAATTGTTGCTAACTGTGAGAGAAATAAGGATGAACACTGTGAAAGCCATCCACTGCATGGCTATCATCCTCCTCCCAGTAGACTCAAATCAAGGAAAAGCTTCATGAGAACCACCACTCCTCTTAATATTACCCCAACAACAGCTCTGGGCAGCTAACCCAGGAAATCCCAATTGGATGGCCCCACACGAGAGTCTGCCTCCAGGGACAAACTAAGAATCGGCAGCTTTCAAGTCCCTGAACAGACTCAGAAGTGGAGTGGGCAGAACAAAAGACAACCTGGAAAAATGGCACTACCTTCACCTTGTGCGACTGTGGAGCAGAACTGACAACTCGGCATCAGTATGCTTGACCACAATGCCCTGCCTCGTGCAAGAGGAAGAATTGTTTAAAGCTACAGACAATGCAGTTGCTGTTGCTTGTTTTTGGTCTAAAATTATTTCACTACTTGCGCTTCCTCTATTTTATTGATGTTATATTTATTTATGCAATGCTTTTGACACAAAATAAATAAATACTCTCTAAACACGGGGCATTGCTGTGCTTCCAACAACCTCAACTCTCACACCACTTTAACCGACATGGCTCAATGATATAGAATCCAGTTTCAGAACTGAGATAGCTCTTTTAAATCCCAGGCTAAAACTCAGAGTGAGTTTGCCACACCGTTGCTATGGGATAATAGCTCTTTGGGGTTAAATAACCTGGGAAACATGGAAGACAGAGAGACAAAACCTTTGAGCATGAGCTCGATGTTCTGTGGCAACAGTTGGGCAAGATCTTGGAAGCAGCTTAAAATAGATTTGAAAAGAGGTCACAAACTCCACATGGACAAGAAAAGAAATTAATGATAGGTCTACCTAAACTTAGCTTCGCGGCGCTGCTTTCCACATACTAATGCGTCACATTTGGCAAGTTGGAGAGGAACAGTTCCCACTTGGGATTTTCTTCAAAGCAGCCCTTGCTGCACAAAATTGTGTTCATTAGTTTGCTCAAGCTCCCTGTCACTTTCTAAAATAGGATTTTAAAAGCAGGTCAAGATTATTGACGAATTATCAGAGAGGAGAGGTTGTGGAGAAAATCTGGCACAGCGAAATGGTCCCTCTGGGCATCAAACTGATTGGTGGTTTGACAGGCCTGCTAAGCTCAGAAAGGTTAAGGATTGCAACACCCAGAATCCTCCAAATAGCATTCTTTAAAATAATTCTCATGAGAATAATGATATCAAATGGTGGCAGAGGAATAAGCTAAATAAATTATTTGTTATTTGAAAAGGATGATTTTTTAGTGTTAACTGCTCTAGAGTCATATTTCATGTTGAGGAATTCTGCTTCCATATGGGGAAATTAATAAGTAAAACTTCCCAAAAATTTGACTTTGAATATGCATTTATTGAGATGCACAGCTTTTTCTCATGCTCTGTGACCAGTACAGCCAAATGCCTCTCATGCATGTGTATGTTGTGGGGCAAGAAGACAACTTCTCTGTTTTTTTATTTCAAATGGTATCATCAGAGCTTTGGCAAACTTCCTTCTTTGTACCTGAGCTTTCAGAACCTGGCCTGCCAAACAAAACAAATCTTCCAAAATAAACCATCAAACTGCAGCCTATTTGCAATAACCATGCTGACTGGAGAGCTGCAGTCCAGAAAAGTAACTTTGCCAAACTCTGAGGTGGTTGAGAAGCATAGAGACAGAAGTAGTACTCATGGAGCTATCAGTACATTCACTTTGAACAACAGAAGACCACCAAGGAGGCAGTAGTTGGATTTTGTGTGTGTCAGGAGCAACTTGAGAAACCGCAAGTCGCTTCTGGTGTGAGGGAATTGGCCATCTGCAAGGACGTTGGCCAGATGACAACCTGTGGGTGGCTTCTCTCATGAGCTTGCATGGTAAGCTAGAGCTGACAGACGGGAGCTCACCCCACCCTTCTGTCAGCAGTCCTTCCAGCACAAGGGTTTAACCCATAGCACCACCAAGATCTCCAGTGGTTGGATAAGGCATTAAGTAAGAATGAAGGGATTACTGAAGCAGCATGGTTATTATGCGTCAAACCATATTCATTATTTATCTTTTATTAACTTTGCTCTTGATGCTGCTGTTGCTGTGGCATGGTTTTATTTGTTATATATATCTTATTGACATGTTTTCTTAGCTGCTTTGGGAAAGTGAATTATTTAGAACATACCTGCATGTTTAACAGTTGGCTAAAGAAAGTGAGACCTTTGCTGTAAACTCTAGCAGCCTTTCCTAACATATGTGTTGTTCCCCAGTAACAGTGAAATATTAGTATATAAACTTAGAATCTGTGAAGGCTCGTCATGCCTGAACACACCCAAGCTGGACTAGTCTCCTGTCCTGCTGATCACTTATAGCATGCTTTTTATTGACCCAGCAGTGGTGTAATAATCCCTGACCTCTCTTGACTTCATTTAAATTTGATGATGAAGCACACAGTGGATCATCAGCCAGGGGCCAGTTCACTCATCTGTATGAAGTGGAGGAGTGAAATATGATTTCAGACTGAAGTCTGATTTAATTTTATTTAAATCATTAATGTGCTGCTGAAAAAAATTGCTTCATTAATTACAATGACTAGTAGGTAAAGGTCGTAGGAGGAGAAAGATTGGATATCTTTTTTTAAAGAATGTTCATGAACTGGAGGTACCTTATTGAATCCAGCAGTGAATGGAAAAGTTTCTTCCTGTACTACAAATCTCAGAATACCCCAGCCAGCATAGACAGACACACTTCGCTTGCAGAATCCTTCTGGGAGTGTGGTGTGATTTGAAAATAAACTGTATATCTTGCTTTAAAGCAGTGGTTCCCAACCTGTGGTCTATGGACCACCAGTGGTCTGCAAAGGATGAAAATATGATCCGCGGCCTCACCATTGCTACACCCTTGCCTCCAAACCACATGTCAATGAGAGTGATGAGGGAATGGGGATGTTGGGAGGGGAGAGGCTGACTACCCATGAAAGATTACTACTACCACATCAGCTCTAGATTATTAAATATGGTTTTCTGTGGGCAAGCAGGTGGCGACAACTGGATGACATATGTTATCTATCAGAAACTAGAGCTGATATGGTCTATCCAATGCAATTTTCAGAATTAGCACCCCAAATAACCAAACCAAATCTAAAGTTGACCAAAAACTGATTCATAACCCTTTTGGTACTAATGTTGGAGAGTGGTCCTTGGTCAAAGTGGTTCCAGGTCAAGTGGTCCCTGGTCAAAAAAAGGTTGAGAACTACTGCTTTACAGGGAACGTGGCATCTGGTCTGAGAAGTTCTGTCTCAAACGGAAATGTATATTGGGCACTTTTTCTTGTCGGTGCAAAAGTTTCATTCTCTCAGCCCCATATGTCGACAATTTTGGCAATATTTTGGGAACTGCCCCTTCCCCACCCCTACTTTCACCCTTCACTAAATCTTCATTCTATAACTGGAAAACTCTTGGTGCATAATGCTCATGGCTGCCCTTATTCCAGGATCATGCAGTGGTGGAAAGAGAAATTCTTAGCAGACTGTTTGTCCAGTGTCTTCTTTCCTTCACATCTGCTGTGCTCATAACCATTTTCCTCCGGTTCCCTTGCTTGGATTCTACATTGTACAGAGAGAAACAAAATGGTCAACATAACAAGCAAAATCTATTTGTCCTTCCCAGCACTTTAATCTTTGAACCATCATTTATGCCTTCCAACTTGTTACGGATGAAAACAGGACCAACTGTGGCCAATTGACAGGGTTAAAATGGCAAAAAATTATTAATGCGGAAGAACACCAAAGCTAGGAAAGAGCAGCATTTTACTTATTTCACTCCCATCCTTTCTCCCTTGCTAAGTCATTTGAGAGCAAACTACTTTTTCTGCTTGGAACTCCATTTGCAGCAATTGAAGTGAGCTATCAAAAAGGTGTGGGAGGGGGGAGGACTTGCATATTTTAAAAGTAGCTGAAAAAGTGGGATTAATTAATCAAATCCATATATGCAAAATTGAGACATTATGCCTGATGAAAATTAAATACGCCGTGGACTGCACCACTACTTTTTGTTTGCTTTCAATTTCTTGGAGGATGAAGCATGTTCTTATGAGAAATTTACAGAAATTCTACTGAGACTAAGAAGCCAAAATGAAAATAATAGAAATAAGGAATGAATCAAGATGTATTTCATTAGCTGCAATACTTCTTACAATATTATTTTGCTTTTCTGCATAGTAGCTATTTTGAACATTTTTAATTATAAGAGGATGGTTAGAATTGAACATTTTCATTTCCTGTATTTCCAGTGTATGCAAAAGAAGGAAAGCAGGTCTCTTCACTTTTAGATTTCTTCCCCAAAGTCATAGCCTCAGGAATAAAGAGAGAATGCATACTGGCAAAAAATTAATTGCAAATCATTCAGTGCTGCAAGCTATAGATGTCCAGTTTCTCTTGCTGTATAGAATCAGAGAGGCAGAGTAAAAATAACACTTATTGCCGATACAGAAAAAGATCACATTTTCCCCAAGATGATTTTTGTGCTGATAACAGTTTGTATTAATTATAATAACTACAGAAACAATCTTCTGAGAATTATGGAAAGAAAAATGAATGACATGTTATAAGTCAGTATGAAATTCAGTGAGACCAGGGCTTCAAATAGCTTTTAATTTCATGCATGTATCTAATTAACTTAAGGGTGTTTAGTTGCTGGGTCATTGAAATAATGCCATTTATTCTGCAGCTTGAATTTCAGTGGCGTTCATCTGGCATCTGCTGGACAATTTAGCGATTTCCTGGGAAGTATGGGGCCAGCACAGTTTGTGGGTCGCCAGACCTTGGCCACGACTTCCTTGGGTAAGAAACAGAAAACTTACTATATATGCACCTATGTATGCGAGCAAATATTTGTGTAGCAGCAGCTATTATCAAGGATGGGAGTCAACCAGGGAACCCTTTTCATCTGAAATTCAAATATTTACAAATATTTTCATCATTATTCTGCCATAGCCATAGCCAGTATCAAAAGTGTTTCACATTCATCATCCTTTTTAAAATTCTCCCAAGGATACATAGCCATCTACTAAGCATGGATAGTAGATCCATGCTTAGTTTCCAGCTTGTAGCAACCCTAAGGGTTTCCTATCATAGGGGTTTCTTGGCAAGATCTGTTCAGAGGGGATCTACCTTTGCCTTCATCTCAGACTGCGAGAGTAAGGGCACATCCAGACAGCATCTGAAGTGTGTGTCCTTTTGTGTTTTCCACTGGGGCATCCAGACAACATCTCAGGGAAAAACAAATGGTTTTGGCACAAATCCTGCTTTGTGCCAAGTTAATCCTGAAAGATCCAGGTCAAATCCAGTATGGCAACTATCTGGATGGCCCCCTCGAAGATTCTGCAACTTCTGAGGGGGCGGTCCACACAGCCTTCTTACATTTTCCGGGCTGAATCAGTCCAGAAAACATGAGAGAGCTCTAACCCCCTCCACAAAACCCCTTGAAAATGGGAGGGAAAGTAAAATAACTTACCTGACCGCTGCCAGCCTTCTACTGGTATGTAAGAATGACATGCCAGGACAAGAGGGGGAGGAGGAAAATTCCTATGCATCAGGAGAGGGGTGGCAGCACTTTAATGGCGGCCAGGTAAATTATTTTACTTTCTCCCCTCCCCCTATTTTTAAGGGGTAGACACCCCTCCCCCCCTGAAAAGCATGCGCTTTCTGGGGCATGTGCAGACTAGAACCCAGGCAGAAGCATGTTTTTAAAATGTGATTTCTCCCGAGTTAAAGAGCTATGTGAAGCCGTCCTGAGACTTGCCCAAGGAAACCCAGTGGGTTTCCATAGCTGAGCAAAGATTCAACCCCAAGTCACAGTCCAATGCTCAAATGACTATATCCTAGTGGCTGCCAATAAATAGATGGGTCAAAGCAGCAATTTAATAAATATCTTATTGTAATTTAAACTGTTTTGGTAGAATTGATATTTGTCTTCAACTCAGATTGTGTATTTTCTCCAGGGGATGTGGAAATTGGCTTACAGGAGCGAAATGGACAACTGGAAGTAGATATCATTCAAGCCAGAGGATTAACCCCAAAGCCTGGCTCCAAAACCCTCCCAGGTAACTTTTATAAAAAGCCTCTTTCAGTTTTAAGAGACTTCTGCTTTTTTGCCTCTACAAAATTCTGCAAAGTAGCTAAATCAATGATTGGCACAGAGACAGGCAATGTTTGGTTTTGCAAAGGAATAACCTAGAAGATTAGGCTATTATATCTAGCAAGTCTATTTCCAGAAAAATAGTAGTAGTTTCAAGGGTTATTATTATTATAAGATGAGTCCACAGCAGACACTCTGCTTGCTGTTGTATTGGATCACACGTTGGACACTTCCCAAGTGTGTAGGACTGTGTGATGTATTGGCCAATAATGCGTGCAGTCCCCAGTAAGGTGGCCTTTTGCAGCTGGCAGATGGTAATCTTGTCAGCTCCGATTGTGTTTAAGTGCAGGCCAAGGTCTTTAGGCACTGCACCCAGTGTACCGATCACCACTGGGACCACCTTGACTGGCTTGTGCCAGAGTCTTTCAAGTTCGATCTTTAAATCCTCATATCGTGTCAGCCTTTCCAGTTGTTTCTCTGCAATCCTGCTGTCACCTGGGTTGCAACATCGACAATCCATACTTTGTTTTTTAACACGATCGTGAGGTAAGGAGTGTTGTGCTCCAAAACTCTGTCTGTCTGAATCCAGAAGTCCCAGAGTAGCTTGATGTGTTCTTTCTCTGTAACTTTTTCCGGCTTGTGATCCCACCAGTTCTTTGTCGCAGGCCGATGGTATTTGTGGCACAAGTTGCAATTAATCTTATATCATCATCATCATCATGCTTTTCTCTCTGTATTGAGGGCCCTTCCAGACAGGCCCTATATTCCAGGATCTGATCCCAGGTTTTGTGTGTATTCCAGATTATCTGGCAGTGTGGACTCATATAATTCAGTTTAAAGCAGATCCTGGGATATAGGGCCTTTTTGGAAGGACCATGAGAGTCAAAGAGGCTCACAACCTTAAAAACAATACAGTCTAAAACCTACAAAATATAAATGTTAAGATAGAGTTAAACATGCAATTATTAAAACCAGTTAGTTAAAATCGCATTCAAAAATATGCAAAAAATGTTTAAAATAATTGACTATATACTTCGGTTTCTAAATTACTAACATTGCAGTCACTTAAAACCTCAGTTGGACCTTTGGTAACAAAGTGTAGGACTCTAAAGAAGAAGGGTAGGTAAATATCAGAGTTTAGGTATCTCACTCTCTGCAGTTTATTCTTCTTAGAATAAATATATACCAAAGCCTGTCATAATTTACCCAAATTCCTCCCAGCCACTATGCAAATATTACTACTCCTTTTCCTTTTTAGAATTCTTTAAATACTCTCAAAATCAGCAATATTCTGCAGGACCGGTTTCTTTCAAAACTAACGTTGGTCAATAAAACTGTTATGATATCTCTATATGAATGTTTTTTTCAAAACATGTCTGTTTTCTTCCAAGCTGCTTACATCAAGGCCTATCTACTAGAAAATGGGGTGTGCATTGCAAAAAAAAAGACCAAAGTGGCCCGGAAATCCTTAGATCCATTGTACAACCAAGTGTTGCTCTTTCCAGAGAGCCCACAAGGCAAAGTATTGCAGGTAAGATAGGTGCATCCAAAAACTGTAGGAAAGTTGCACTGCCAGGATTGGCAGGTGTAACCAGGTACAGGAATGGCTCTTGTTGTGAGCAGGATACAACACGGAGCTGGTATTGTGTGTATACTCTTTCAGGACTTGTCATGTTGCTGAAGAAATCAAGACTAATGGGACAGAATAACTTTGTACCAGAATACAATTAGTAATAATTTATTAACAAGTTCTCAACCAATAACAGAAAACTTACAGGTCAAACTAGAAGCAACACTGGGGAGGTAGAACCATAGAATAATAGAGTTGGAACAGACCACATGGGCTATCTAGTCCAAACCCCTGGCATGCAGGAAAAGCACAACCAAAACACCCCTAACAGATGGCCACCCAGCCTCTGTTTAAAAGCTTCCAAGGAAGGGTGTTAATATATCTCTGATTTCTTATTTGTATTTGGATTGGATAAAAGAAACTTTTTGATGAGGGGTATAGTATAGTGGGAAGAAGTTAAACTTTTTTAAGTGTCCTATTCTTGATCCAAGTTGAATTGATAACTTCTGAGAGTGGCTATTAGTTACTGAGAGGAAAATATTTTTTGTGGATTTGATTATTCACTGATTTGTTTAGTATACACTCTCTAGTAATCTTTGGGTCCTCTCTACATACAGGATTTTTTTTTACCTAACCAGTCCTTTCTTCATTTATAAAACTGCTGCCTTTTGAACCAATTCAAAATCCTTGTTTCTCCAACTTGTCAAATTTACCTTTTGAATTTTGTATCCATTCCTTCCAAGAAAGAGATGTTTCTGCTTCCTCTAATTTTTTTATTCTTTAACTCTCAGCTATCCTAGAAAATTCTCCTTATAAAACGATTGGGGTTAAGAGAGAAACTCCTGGCCATATCTTATTTTTTAAAAACTAACCCATATCTCCATAATATCTTTAGCCAAGTTATTCTTACATCCTTACTCTCAGTTGCAGGGATATAAATAAATAAATAAATAATAAAAATGTATATGTAGAGAGTTAAATAAATATGAAGAATGGCTAGGTAAACTTAAAAAGCAAGAAATATCTAGGATGGGGCTAATTGGGAAAATATACAATGGTTTAGTAGGCGAGGAAATAGGATTGAAGTTGTTAGAAAAGATATGGGAAGGAGATCTAGAGCTGTCAATGGATCTTGACTGAAAAGAGGTACTAAAATGGAGAGTGGTCAAGTATCTGTCAGTAAAATTAAAAGAAAATGTATATGAAGTCATATGGAGATGATATACCACACCAGTTAAATTACTCCAGATGGATAAGAAGTACAGTAGCACTACTGCTGGAGATGTGACGTGCATGAAGGGACATATTTTCATCTATGGTGGCAATGTCCCCAGCTGAAGAATTCTTGGGACAAGATATTTAAAGAAATTGGTAATATCTCTAAACAGGACTAAACATTGTCCCAGATGCTAATTTAGCATGACTAATGGATGCCATAAAGTTGAATGTAGAAATGGAAAGGAAAGGAAAGAATTGGTGATTGTTCTACTTACAGTAATGAGACTTATATTGTAAGGAATTGGAAGACAGTAACCAATCTTCCACCAGAAGTATAGTAAGGGGAAGGTATTGAACATAGCTTTAAATGACAAATTATCAATAGAAATGAGGGTGATTTTGTAATAAAAATGTATTTTCATTAAATACATTTTAGAGCACAACAAGGAAAAACAATACAACCTCATTGGACAAGAATTCTGGATATGATGTTTGTTAATTTGTCTATTTATATATTTATGGAGAAGGAAATAATACTTGTTCAGGCCTAGGTGGTGGGTCTCAGTGTTTCTAAAATGTACATTATTTTGTATACTGTTTATATTGAATGATGTTAATGTAAGTGTAAAAAAAAACAAATTAAAAAAGATACTTGCTGCCCTTTTACTTCGGTTTAGGTAGATGTACCTAAATATCCTTGGGCCCCCTGGTGGTGCAGCGGGTTAAACCGCTGAGTTGCTGAACTTGCTGACCAAAAGGTTGCAGTTCAAATCCAGGGAGTGGGGTGAGCTCCCGATGTTAGGACCAGTTTCTGCCAACCTAGGAGTTCAAAAACATGAAAATGTGAGTAGATCAATAGGTACTGCTTCTGCAGGAAGGTAATGGCGCTCCATGCAGTCATGCTGGCCACATGACCTAGGAGTTGTCTACGAACAATGCCAGCTCTTTGGCTTAGAAATGGAGATGTGCACCCCCCCCCCCCCCCCACACACAATTAGTACCATTTTATACCATGAAAATATAGGGCAATAGCCGTGAACGGACATTCCCCTTGTCTCAAAGCATTGTTAGAAGTTATAAACCCTATGACTGTGTCTCCTATCACATGTGTGTTGTGGTTATAGACTAAGCATGATTCCTTCTTCTCTTGTTTCCAAGGTGATTGTTTGGGGAAACTACGGACGCATGGAACGCAAACACTTCATGGGAGTTGCTCGGGTTCTTTTGGAAGAACTGGACTTGTCAACTTTGGCGGTTGGCTGGTACAAGCTTTTCCCGACATCATCCATGGTGGATCCCGCTACCGCTCCATTGCTGCGCCAGTCCTCACAGCTTTCTTTGGAGAGCACAGTAGGACCTTGCTGCGACAGGTCTTAATGAGCAAGAAAGGACTGAGGGACTGCTTCTGTTTTTAAAGTCATGCTGTCAAGGTTTTGTTTGCCAGAACGCTGTCCTCAGGCACATTGCATCTTCAACCAGTCCTTGAGGGAGCCTGAAGGTGAGGATAGCCAAGTAACCTTGGGCAGGAAACAGGATAGAGGCCAGTGACCTTTCTACATCCAAGTAGGAGGAACAGCAGGGCATGAATCCTAATTGTGGAATGACATACACAAGACATACCTTTTTTCTTTCTGTTTTCCACTGTCATCCATACATCCTTGCTTCAGAGCAATGTGAAATCTTGAAAAATTGCAGCAACTTTTTAAAATTGGGGATGGTGTTTTCCTTTTCTTAGTGCTGTTTTACAAATTTGAAAAAAGAGGACTTTTGGCAATTCTTAAATATTGAAAAGCAAATATCTGTCCTAAAAGAAATAGCAGTTTCAGGGAAACTTTATGGGTTTTGTAAACTGTTTTTGTTTCCTTCTCGAGGTGGGGCAGGGAGACGAATCTGCAACACTCTTTAGAACAAGTTCCATAGTTCTATTTGATATACAAATGCTGTTGCTGGATTTTTTTTTTACACTGTGCCAAATTACCAGCAGTGTCTTCTACTACAGGACTTAGGCCAACAATACTACAGAGCATTTTTGCTAGAAGTATATACTTTAATTACAACAGTAAGTTCTAATACAAAGACTGTAGCAAGTCTCGTAGCTGGAATGTTGCACAGAAAATATTGCTGAAAGCAAACAGGAAATCTTGCAGAAATAAGATTTGCTAGTGCTAGCCCATTGTTAGATATGAACATTTTACACACACTCATGCCATAACTGACCTCAGCTTTTGCTTTCTCTTGTGTTCATATTCCCATATACAAATCAAGCTTTGTATTTTCTGCTGCATATCTTGTGATGTGCCACATTGCTCTGCAATACAGATTGGTTTGAGGTAGCAATACTTTATTCTACCATTGCAAACAATTCTAGTCTTAAAGGTTATGTTTTCCTTGAAAGATGGATAGCTCAGAAGGTGACATTATATTTGTCACCTGAAAGATGTGCTTAGGAGATCATGTAATCTTCATAGATAAAGGAAAAGAGTGATGCACCGATGCAGCTTAATGTAATATACCTGTCAGGTGAAGTGACACAGAAGGAGGAATTGGGTTTTCAAAAGCTCAAACCCAAAAGGCAGTTAAAGGCTTAGAAGGGTATTTTCACATGTGACACTAATGGCACTTTTTAACCCCTTGCAATGTGAGTTTTAAATGATTGTAAGGTGGGGGAATAACATTGGCATTTCATGTGGCATTTTGTCTATATGCAAATCCCTGTATAATATATGTGTATGACTTATGTGTAGACACATTGTGCCCATGCTGCATTCTTTATCTCCCATCTGGCACGATTACTCACCGCGTTGTATTCATTCTGGATTCAGTAAATATGGGTGTGTCTTCGATTGCACTAATCAGAGGGTGATGCAGCAGGTAAAGCTTTACTTTTGAACACAGCTTAATATAAATCTTCTGAAGCTGTAATGACTACCATCAAGGGATTGCAAGTGGCAAAAGTGACTTCCCAAGTCTCTTATGCCAGTGTCCTGGTCACTGAAGATGGACTTTGGGGATGGTACTTAAATGCAAAAAAAGAAGAATGGTGTAAATACTTTATGTTAACATAAAGATAGGTATACATGTATATATATATTCTGCATAGAGCTATGAAGACACTAGTTTTCAACACAGTGATTCGTGTGCTTTAGAGTAGTTGGGTGATACATTTGACAGTGCCGAATGCACAGCTCAATTAAAGCAGCTTATCTGGACACAGATGTGTCTGAAGTTTCTTGAAAGAGTGATTTTAGAAAGTACCTTAGACTCTATCTGTATTTAAATCTACCTTTTGTACATGACTACCCATTTCTTTTTGTCCTCATTTCTAACAAAGGTTTTTATTGTTGCTCTCTCACATCTGTTTTTCCTGTTTGGATGCCAAAGGGAGATTTTGTTTGACACTCTTAAGATGCCAAGTCCTGAACTGACATTTACGAACCGTCCGGAAATGGCTTCCTGCCTTGTTATTACAGCACTGAGTAATATCAAGGCTCTACGTGAACTATGAAATAAGCATGGCTAAAGCATGACTTGCTATAGAATGAAACTTAGACAGTCACATATTATAGGTAGCGTTTTTAACAGTTTGGGACATAATGACTGAAGTTAGGCTCAATAGTAATGAGCTATGCTAGAGGAAACTAATATAGACAATAAAATAAGGAATTTTAAGTCTAGTAAAGTCATAGACGTTCCAGAGTTTTAGTCTGATTATCCTCATTTCTTCTATGCCTGTGATTTCCATGTAATTCCTTTTCCGAATCATAGTAAAGCTTTTTCTGCATTTGGGTTAAAGGAAGATAGTTGCATGCTGGTCAAAATATGTTTGGATTCTTTGGATTTTTTTACAAAAATATACTCCAGGCTGCCACCTCTTCATATTTGTGTGTAGTCAGTATTGGGAAATACTGTACAATTTAACTGTGAACTAAAATAAGTTTGGTTAGATTTAGTGGTTGCTGGTTGCCACTAACACTTTCAAAACCTTATCCTTAAACGAACTATGGAGGGAAGCAAACACATTCCAGACCTGAGAATTAAACTGCAGATGTTCATATTGTTTAAAGATGTGTATGTTGTTTCAGCCAGTTACGTCTTGTGTGTGTCCGGCAGTCAGTTGCCCATTCTTCCTCAAATGTTGATGGGGACATAGGAGTAAAATGGCTGGAATATATCTGTACTGTCATAACTTGTTGATACAGCACAGCAGTAGACTTGGTTCAGAAATGGCTGCAGATTTTGAAATGGAGTTCAGAATTAGGATGTCCCACAGAACCAGTTCAAATACATTCCTATAATGTGGATGAACAAAGGTATAATTTGTTTCAAGTAAAATACCCAGAACAAAAGATATAATTTGAAAGTGGCCTAGAATTCATTTTAAACATAAACATTTCAGTGTCTGGTGCATAACTCTCTTACAATTCAGATGTGGACAAGCAATACACGTATCAGCATGTGGTCAAGATGCCAAAAGTTATCAGTGAGGAAGGGAAGATATGACAAAAGAGCTCGAGTAGTTTGCTTTTGGCTAAAGTTACTGGGAAGGGCACAATTCTGCCCCTTTCTTCCTGTGCTCCCCACAAGTTTGTTTTCATTTTCCATCCTTTGCAAAACTCTTCAATTTTACCAGAACGTGGATGCCAATCTGGTTTCAGCATTGGAGTACAACTCCAGAGACTAGGGTTTGAATCCTGTTGAGCCATAGAAACTCACTGACTGACCTTGAGCAAGTGTCACTTTCTCAGCCTCAGAGGAAGGCAAAGACATCTCCCCCCCCCCCCCCCCCCCCCCCGCTTCGAAGCAATCTTGCCAAAGAAAGCCCTTGATAGGTTCACCTTAGGGTCACCATAAGTCAGAAATGACTTGAAGGAATGCAACATCAAAACTGAGCATTAACTCCTAATACAGTAACGCAAAATAACATGAAAGTACCCTTAAACTCATACATATCAATAACATAATAGAGCACTACTATTTCACAGGCATCACCTGCTTCTTTTACGTTACTATGAAGAAAAGGATGCCCTTGCCTTTGTAAGAGCTATTTTATGCTTGTCCAAACTGCTGTTGGACAATATTGTGCTAGATTCACATGTGATCCACTTTTTCATTTTCAGTAAGGGCATCAATGCATGCAGATAGGAGATAGATAGATAGATAGATAGATAGATAGATAGATAGATAGATAGACAGATATGGTAAAGGTTTTCCCTTGACATTATGTGTAGTCATGTCCATCTCTGGGGGACGGGTGCTCATCTCTATTTCTAAGCCGAAGAGACGGTGTTGTCTGTAGACGCCTCCAAGGTCATGTGGCTAGCATGACTGCATGGAGTACTACGTATTACCTTCCCACCAGTGTGGTTCCTATTGATGTACTCACATTTGCTGTTTTCAAACTGCTAGATTGGCAGAAGCTGGGGTTAACAGCAGGAGCTCGCCCTGCTCTCTGGATTCGAACCACTGACCTTTTGGTCAGCAAGTTCAGCAGCTCAGTGGTTTAAACTGCTGCGCCACCAGGGGCAAAGTTAAGAATCTCCTAACCAATCTGAAATGATTGTGGTAAAAGGAATACCCTGTTGAGTCCCAGTCTGGTTCCGCGTTTCTTCTGTGTCAGAGTGCACACAGTCCCCAAAGTGTCCCTTTACATGTTCCAGACATACCTTTCTTTACTACATCTAGCAATGCATTTGTAATGAGTCATATGCTTCTAAAACTAACCCAAATTTTAGGGAAATAGGGTAGCTTATTGTGTAGCCTTTTTTAAAAAAGTCTTGGGACCCTTTAGGTCAAACCTCTCTTTGTCATTTTAGCTTTGTAAAGCAAGCATTTTTTCCCATTTCAAACCTGATCTCTTACTGCCTTTTAAAGGTTTAAAACAGATTGGTGTCAATCTGTACACTTTGATTGTTGCTTCTTTAATGGGGAAGTAGTAGCTGTGTTTGGAAGAATCAGCATGTGTCTGATAGGTGACTGTGAGCTCATACTTGCACCCTAAATTTGGCTGATTGTTAATGGGAAGATCTAAGGCTTGGGCATGCTTTGTGATGGCACCTGTTTTTTTTTATCCTCTTTGCTCTTCAGTTTAATAACTGTGACCATTGCATCATTAAGAGCAAAGCACTATCCCCTTCAGCCATTGTCTTGAGAAAGAGGAAAATACTGGCAATGAGATCTATTGCTCTGTTGTTCTCTTCAGAAGGGATGACCGGTCTCATATCCACAGTTTCTTCAGATGCAAATGCAGGTTTTCTAATCCTCTGGCTGTGCTTTATATACCCTTGCTCCAAATGCATATGATAGAAACAGATAGAGAGGTTCTCGTAGGGTTCATCTACACAGTAAAATAATGCAGTTTGACCTCATCACACTTTAAATCTGTTTTCTGCCTCCTGCAGAATTCTGGGATTTGTACTTTAGAGAGGGATCATTAACAGCCTCACTAAACTATAAACTTCAGAATTCTGCTGGTGGCAGAAACAGGATTTAAAGTGAATTCATTCTCTAGTGTGAGGAAGTACATGATGCAATGCCATGGAATCCTGGGAGTTGCAGTTTGGTCCCAGCCTTATTTGGCAGACAGGGCTAAATACTTTGTGAAAACTACAAGTCCCGTGATTTCACATGGGAAACGGAAAATGCAGTGGTGTCGAACTGCATTAATTCTACAGTGTAAATGTCCCCATAGTTATGGAGGTTAAACTCTGAAGAGCAAAAGTGTCCATAAGGAAGCATGCCTACATCCTCCAGTAAAGGTATTCTCATTACACAGGACGTGTTCCTTACCCTCCAACACATCACAGATTAACACTGGGAAACATGGTGAAGGAACACCAGCATGTGGTCAAGATCACTAAAGTTATTAATGAAAACGCACAAGTTAGGAGAACATGCAGCAGTTTGCTTTTGCCTGAGCTTCCTGAGAAGGACAGATTTCCATCTCTTTCCCTCTTCTACCAGCTAAATGAATGCAAAGTAGTTTTGCACTTTGAGATCAGTTTGGAGCAATGGAAGTAAGGTGAGGACAAAGTGGGGAAGTGGAGGAACAGAGAGAAGTTGCAATATTTTAAAGGGTGCCGGAAAAACTGGGGCGATTAGTGAATCAGGATTGTCCCCAGTGGCAATTGGAGGGTATGGTGCTCAGGTGCATTCAGGAAGTCTCTTTTCGGAGTAAGGAGTTGAATCTGTATTTCTAGTGCCTGTAAACACCAGATCATTCTTCCGATATAAGCAGAGCTGTCCTTAAAGATCAGGGATTAAGCAAACCAGCCTGCGCTAGCTCAACCCATGCTTCCCAGCTTTTGGGGGAAAGGACTTTAGGAGGAAGAAAACCTGATTTGTGAATGTTTTTGTTGTACATAATTAATTATACCTTTTTAATGTTTTTAATACTGGATCCCTTATATATGTACTATTTAAACCAACTTAGGTCTTCAGGCTTAAGGAATGTCATTGGTTTATGTATAGAGCAAAATGCTGTAGATGTTGAGGCCATAAGAATCTCAATGTAAAGCATGTTTAGTAGTAACCAACCACCTTCAGGCGTAGGACAATTTTTTTTTAATAAAACTTATTTTAAGTTATTTAAACTTAAGGTATTTAATAATTTTGACACTGGAGAAATATTTTCTTTAAAAATAAAAAATACTGTATGTTTTTTTAAAAAACAAATTATATAATTTAACATATTTTTCAAGGAAAACAATGTTCTCTTGGTACAATATGTATTCATGGTCTTTCTTGATACAGATAATTTAAGACCTAAAAATAAGTGGAAAAGAAGCTAATCACAATGGATCCAATGGAACATCAGCATGATTAACATTATTTGGGTTAGGGCAGTGGTTCTGAACCTGTGGGTCCCCAAATGTTTTGGCCTTCAACTCCCAGAAATCCTGACAGCTGGTAAACTGGCTGGGATTTCTGGGAGTTGTAGGCCAAAACACCTGGCGACCCATAGGTTGAGAAACACTGGGTTAGGGTCTTATTAATTTATCATTAGACACTCTGTATTATATTTTATTAACTTGTAATCCCCCATTCCCTCTCCAAAAAGGATGTAAATAGCTGTCAGGAATTAGTCCTATAGGAACGTCACTTGAAACTATCATTGTTGTTATTATTAATATTGTGTAAGAATATATTTGCAATGGATCCTTACATCTCTGCTGAAGATCTTTGCCTAAGATCTAAGCCTTTCTTGAAAGAATTGATGTTGTATTTTCAAGATGAAGAAAACAAATCTACTTAGCTAGTTTGTCATAATCTTGTATTCTGTAAACAAAACAAAAAAAACATCTTTTGATAAAGAGAGTCTGAATAAGCATACAAGCAATAATATATTCCCTTTGTGATGTGTGGATGGCCATACCTGGTACAGTTTGTGGTGACAGTCTTGGTTCATAGGGCCATCAGCCCTGGACAGACCATAATAGCATTGGTTATTTGGATAATTGTGAAAAAAATAAAATTGGATAGTACTACGGTGATGGTTCCATCCAATCTGTTTCTGTAAGCAAATACATTTACTGGCCATAAAATTTTTGTAGTTGACTTTCATGCTACAGTTGTCAAAAGGTTCAGTATGAAGCTCACAGGTGTATAAGGTCTCCTTATTTTCTGATAGTGTTGAGCATTTGTCACCGTTGTTTCAGGTACCGTCACTGCCAATGTTTTGTATTCTCAAACTGATGGCTATTCTGCCCTCTAACGGCAAAGATGCCTCATTGGAACTAAAGGGAGATGGGTTTCTTTTTCCTGAGCTGTTGTTCCATCCTTTGTTATTATTGTACATGATACCACAGTCGGGAAATACATGCACCTTTATAAACTTTATAAACCTA